ATGAGTTTCACCATGTTCGAAGTTAGCGAAATGGGTCTGATATTTTCTATGGTAGAACCTAATCATGCGTCTTTATTAATGGGATTACCTTAGCTATTTTCCAGTCATACGGTATCTAGGCATTCTTTACAGAGTAGTTTATAAGATTGAGGACGTCGCCGGGGGATAGCTTAAATAAAATTTTAATCATAGGAACTGTGATTCCATCTGGACCAGGAGCGAACGATGGTAGATCTCGAATCACTTTTGATGCTTCAGACTGCGTTACGTTTTCGAAGTCAGTGCTTATGCTAGCCTTTTGCCAGCTGAAAGCCATAGTCGAAGAAAATCTAATTTCTAGACCTCTGCGAATTGACTCTAAAGAGTTCTTCGTTTCTTCCAATGATAGTTTTTCATAATCAGTATTTACTGCCGACGGCAGCATTTTGCGAGATCGCATATATTGAACTAAAGCTTTCATATTTTTAGGTTTTGAGAGAAAATTGAAATGTCTTTTATTATACTCTTCTTTAGCTTGGGCCACCGTGTGTTTAAATACAGCGGCAAGAAATTTATATTCTGACCAGTTCCTAGGGGGCTGATTATGTATTAGCTTCTTCCAAGCTGCCTGTCTTCTTCTGAGGTCTCGTGAACAGTTGGAATTCCACCAGGGGCTATAGGGTACTCTTTTCGCCGATTTAACAGTGAATTCAGCGTTTTTGTATGCCCTTTTAAGTACTGCGCTTAATTTCATAACTTTAGTGTCATCTCCATCCTGAGAGGGAGCGTCTAAAGCAGTTTATAGGTCGTGTTCAAATTTTGTATAATTTATATAGTTCCGGGCATGGAAGCATGACGGTTTGACGGGGCAAGTGATCTCGAACATTATTGGAAAGTGGGCACTGTTGGAGGCGCAATCAAGGGCTGTCCACGATGTACTAGCAATGGCCGAGCTTACAAAGCTTAAATCTAAGGCGGAGCGTGAATGACCTCGAATAAATGTGGGAGTTCTAGCGTTAAGGCACAAAAAGTTGTTGTCTACCGACCAGTCCCACAACCGTTGTCCACACTGATGTGTTCTAAAACCCCAGCAGGTATGGTGAGAGTTGAAGTCGCCAGCTATAATTTTTTTTCTGTACAGCATGAATTAGCAGCCATATCTAACAATCTCGTGTTTTGAACGCCTACAGGGAAGTAGACGTTTATTAGCGAAAAAGGCAAGTATCCTGGCAAGGTAATATCTAACGCAAAAATTTCGCATTCAGAAGACATACATATGTATGAGTTTTTTACTTTTAAACTAATTTTATTGTTTATAAAAAAAGCTAAACCTCCACCTTTGGTTTGACGGTCTAGACGAAAGGTTTGGAAGTTGGGTAGGTGAAATAAATGATGTTTGGAAAGCCAAGTTTCTTGTAATGCAATAATAGCCGGATCGAATTTGGATGACAGGTATAACAGATCTGTTATGGCTGAGTGGAGAGATCGGCAATTCCAATATATACTTTTAAAAGACCCTATGATTTCGTTGAAATGGTTTCGGCAACTACCTTATCTAAAATACTTTCCTTTAGAAAATCGGTTTTTGAAAGGTTGTCTTTCTGGTATTTCTTGCTTTTTACATGTTTCGGCGAGCCAGGTTTTTTTGATACAGGGGATCTAGAACGCTTTAGGCATTTGAGATCTATGTCCATATCGTGTGTGTCTTGAGAAGCTTCCTGTGCACCCGCGCTTTGCCTCTGAATGCCTTCTCCAGAGGGCTCTGCAGACTGTGCATCCGGTGGAGTTATCTCAGATTCTGCCTCACTTGTCGGGTGTGCAGACACAGCATTTTCTACAGCCGTACTTATATCTATCCGTGCTCCATAGGCTTGTGCGATTTGGTTATTCAGAATGTGCGACAGTGACTCACATAGGGTGGTAGCAAGGCGTTGCATAGCGTTATCCACAGCCTTCTCGATCATGTCCGCAATCGATAGGGAAAAGGATGCTTCCATTGCTATGTTATGGCGGGCAGCTGCTCCTGCATACCCTTGAGTTCGGGCTTGGATTTCAGCAATGGCATGCTTTCGGGAGCATCGCCTTCTGGCTACAATTTCAAGGATTTGGATTTCACGTGCCTCTGCTGAGTAGTTGGGGTTAACAGCGCAGTGTGCTTCATGGCAAAGACAGCACTTTTCTTCATTACTTTTACAGTCGTTTGAGTTGTGCGTCTCACCACAAATTCTGCATCTAGGTACTGACCTGCGTCCTTTCACTGTGTGGCCATAACGCCAACTCTTAATACATTGTAGGGGACGAGGTGATAGTGGCTCCACTCTGTATATTAAAGGCCACGCTTTGATTTTGGTTGGGTAATTCGACCCGGCAAATGTAGCAATCACGGACTCCATTGGGACCTTGTTCTTGTCCACAACTCGACTACATCTATAGATAGCTATCACACCTGCTTCTATAAACATATCTAATATCTCAGTTGGGGTCAAGTTGGCATCGACACCCTGAACGAGGCCTTTGACGCAAGCTGGGTGAGGTGGAATGAATGCGCTCACCAGGTTGGTAGCGAATACCGAGCATTTTAGTAGGTCTCGAACACAGAGCTGGTCAGACGAGAAGCAAAGAATGCCACCCTTGCCGAACTGCCTGACCTCTGTGATGCTTTGGTAGTGAGTTGTAGCGGCTCTCGACTCTGTCTGAATCATTTTTGGATTCTTCATCCGTATAATACTATCGTTGCTTGGGACCAATGCCACAGGAACGGATGAGATGCCATTGCGTAAAACGAAGTCCACTGGCAATTCCTGCGAAGAAAGAGAAGCAGACCAGAGGAAAGCCCCTGGTCTAGGCGAAGAAAACGGCATCTGCCTGGTCGTACTATCTGAAAATACACCCGCTAATCAATTACGACACTATAGAAACGCTTATGAAAAAAAGAATAACCAAAATCAATCACAACTACTGAATTCTTGGCCAAACCCTCAGAGCAGGCAAACGTCAGTCGCTGATCGAGCCTGAGTACGAGAGCGGACCTTTCGCGCGCTCAGTCCGCTTCTTCCTCTTCGATTCGTCTACGACGGTGGGGCCATGCCCACTGCCTCGTAACAGTATGTTTGAAGCGACTTGACGGCGTCCGACATGACAAGCATCACTACTAGATTAATGAGAAGATAAAGGAATGCAGTGGAGGAAAGAGGCAAGAGGATGAAGCAGAGCAGCGAAATCATATATGTTGCCTGAAGCCATTTTGTCAGACGCAAACAAGAACAGCAACCACCTAGTGGTTGGTGCATCGTTGTCGTCTTAACGTTTGATTCTATTGACCCTTACTACAGTGCTGGATAACTATGTTGCTGGGGGCTATTTGTGCAGCTTGGTATTACACAGAAGTCTTCTGGGCCATATCCGAAGCTTCTCAGCAGCTACTGCAATCCTGAATTAGAAGACGCCACATGATCCTAAATGCTTCTATTGATTAGCATTTCTGCTTCTATTGTTAACGATGCTGTAGTCTGCTATGTACGTGCTGAAAAACGCTACGTAGATTAGAATGAATCGCTTTATTCATCTGGGAATCACAATTAACTTTCTCGTAAATGCCCAGAGAACTTCAGAAAATATGACTACTTGAAAATAATGTCATGGCGTTTCGGGGAAGCAACCTAGCAGTGAACACTTGTGAATGGTGAAAAATTAGCTGTGATTGAAACATGCCCGATGGTCTGTCGACTACAAGTTATTAAGATTATTTCATTGAAATCATCGCCCTCAATTTAGGGGCTCCGGTTAGGCTCCCGGTTGAGCACTGGCCCTCGCTGGTCCTAGTAGTTGGCGCCTACATCATGCGCCTCGAGCCATGTGACACTCTCCTTATGCCGATGGTGGATCAATTTACCTGAAACATTCGCCGCCGAAAAAGAAAAATACGAATAATAAAAATTAGCTAAAAATTAAGAATAATGAAAATTAAGCTTTGCATTCAACTGCTGCTCTCATCACCGAAGCACAAAATAAAAGCAAGTTAAAAAGTATATACCAAAGATAAAAAGCTACATTTCGCCAACTTGGTGGCATAAACAACTTCCTGTTTCTGTTAGGAGTGGCGTCTAGCTCCAGGCTTATAAACACTGCATCATGGTATCGTTAGATCAATACACGGCTGATGCGAATATGGCTGGTATACTGCGTGGCATGCGGAAAAGGTGGAATAATTGCTGCGATACCTACGCGTACCGCAAAAAGACGTGTGATCGGGATCTGTTAGGGTAGCATCTATCCGTGCTGTCGAATCAAGCGTTTTATATTCAACGACACCGAAACATACCACGGCACACGCTACATAAATGCGCACGCTGCGCTGGTTGAAGCAGTGCGTGCTCCAGCATTCACCAGCACTTGCCAGTGAAAATTCCAGCACTTCCAGCGCGTCCCAGTGTGCACCAGCTTCACGGCGGTTGAGCCAGCGCCCCTACCAGTGTGACACAGCTATTTTCCAGCGTTCCCAGTGGAGTACCAGTAGATACCAGCCTGTGCCAGTGTTTCCAGCGTGTACCAGTGGCAAAAACGTACTGGTATCATGCTGGGGATGCCATTTTTTGCAATAGGGTACGCAAAGCACCTCTTCGTCACCCTCCCATCTGTTCCAATTCTCCACTGCACTAAGTACCATTCTTCCAAACCCGCCCTCACTGCTGTGAGCGAAACCTCGAAAAAAAAAAAGACAAGTGAGCTACTAGTTGTCGTAGGAGCAGCTCGATTTGTTGCTGTTCTTTATCGACGACAGGTAAAATCTTTGCTGCTAATCGACAGTATTGTTTATTGGTTCATTCTTCAATAAATAATACTGTTAAAATTGAACATGTGGTATATTGTATGTAGTACTGTCTATCATTATTGTGAAAATTCGAAAAAATATTAACAGCGCTTTATCAATAGTGGAAGGACGCTTAAAAATATCGTGGCGACATCCCGGCTTGAAGTTTATATCTCAGTGTCTTGCGATTATTTGTGCCTCTGACTTTCAGGCAAGAAAGCCGGATATGCTGCAGACGATGCTTGATGTCGAAAGCGAAGAAGGGCAGCTTCCAGAATCACCCCAACTTCTCGATGGTCAGTAGCTTCAGGCTCATTATTTCTGCATTGAATATCATTTGGAAAAGTGTGTGCTTTTCTCTGTGTTTTACACTATGCACAAGAGTGCCAATGGTATGAGAACATCTGTTTGATCCCCTTCAGTCATAAACTAGTTACCATGCCTGAAGCAGTTCAGAACAGAGCCACCCCTTACATTAAAAAAATTGCAACAATCATTCAAGTGTGACTAATCTCAAGCCCAATTATTCTCTTCAACAGTTGTTCGCTGACAAAGGCATTCACTGTGTGTATTTCACAGGTACGTGTACACTAACAAATATAGTCGTTGAACCTTGAATGCCCCCTTTACACGTCACGCAGTGAACGTAATCACCTCACCTTCACGCACATATGTACCAACACAAACGTGTTTAACAGCTCTTACTGCCCCGAGACATACGAGTGTAGGATAATTTTCTTGATACAATTGTCCCTGATAACACGTTTCGACACGAACTTGAGGTGCATTTTGAACAATGGCGTCGTAAGATTGTCTTCACGTTTGGCTTTTAGGTTTCCCTCGTTTTCACATGATGTTGCATTGCAATTTCCTTACACCACAGCAATCTGCTGTTGTCTGCGTTTTTTACATATCGCTGTTGTATTGCGTGGGTAATATTGCTGCAATGTAATTTGGGGGGCAGGAAGGCGGAGGGAAGGCTGTTTTATTCACTCGAATCGTTATCATTTCGCTTACAAATTTGATTGGGTTTACAAGAAAATCTTCTTACTCAATGCCTTCGGGCCTGTAAGTTTCTCTAAAGTTTGAAGAAATAAAACTTCTATTTCTCTTGCAAAACTGTTCTTATCTGTAGACTCATAGCGAACAAAAAAAAGTGCAGTTCTGGAGACTTTTTACTGAGTCTGTGTTACGAATGTAAGCACTGTTTCTTTGGCTTATCATAATATTAAAGGCGAACTGCAACGAAATTGGGCACTTCGCAAAAACTCTATAGATAAGTAGTCTAGCTAGAGGTAATGCTGCCTGCGAAATGTCGCCTTGGAAATCTTACCTTAGAAGAAAGCATGCAAATGATGATGTTTTCGAGGCAGAAACTAGAAAAAACGATGCCATTATGGCTTACCGAAAGTGACGTAATGACAGAAAAATTGTCTGCTCCGCGCTCTTCGAGCACGCACATCGCGGACGCCCCCTTAGCGTGTGTGGTTTTTTTTATGTTAAGAAAGCTGCGTGAGCATGCCTCTTATGGAACGCTGGTCCGTGCTTCCCCACTACTCGGTCACAGCTTTTCTTGACAGCACTGTGGAAGCTATAGAGCCGAACCGCCTGCATGCGCGCGCGCCAGGAAATAGTACCTATTTTATTTTCTGATTCTAATAGCTACTTGGCCCGAATAAATAAAACTTTCTTCATTATAAGGATAGAACAAGTATCGGACGCTGTTCATAAAAAACAAGTTATCGTGCGCCCTAGTTTTTTTTCTTTTTTATTTCTTGGACGGCACCCCGTTTTCCGCACGCCGGCTGCGTCTGCTGCTTGTTCTTGCAGCGGCGAGCACAGCATCGGCCGTGGAAAAGCTGCTCATTATTGGGACGCGCCGTCTTTTATACATCACGCATCGAACTTTCCAGCCTTATTACTGGTGGCCGCGCAAGCTCTGAAATAAGCTTCACTGTTCGCGTCTTGCGCGCAATCTTAACAACGATCTACAACAATTGTGAGGCTTCTCGAACACTGAGGCGCAGTCTGCGCCGATCATTCCTGACAGCCTTTGAGGGCGTAAACCGAATACAGCAAAACTGAAACAAGACAGGCCCGTGGCCGGATCGTGCCGCAACCAGCCTTTCTTTTTGCCTGTACCAGGGCTCAATACCGTAAACGTAAACATTCGATCACGTGTGGCGCGTACCCGTATATACTGGGCTGAACACGGAACCTAAACTTCACTGTTATAAAGGCTGAATAATGCTGGGAAAACGTTCTGAACAACAGAAAATTTATATGTACCAGTATATAAACAGCACAGTAACTAGTTGCATGTAAGCACTCTCATCAAAGTTTAACTCTGACGTTCCCATTTTGCATGCATACATTTTGCTATAATAAACACACTAGCGCAGCGAGCAAGCGAAAACCGAAACTGGAACCGAAATTGGCTGCAAGCTGCCGGACTACTTGCGTAGTAACACAAATGTGCGGAGGCCCCGCCTCCGTAGCCTCCACTCCAATGTCAAGAAAAGCTGTCGCCAAGTATAGTGAATATGCAGTGTCTACACCCGTATTCAGAAGCGTGCCTTGACTTGACTTGCCATCGACTTCAATGCAGCATGAACGCGTTTTGAACGCACTATGTTTAGGCGGTGCTAAGGTAGCACAAGCGCGCAGACGTGTTTCGAACGCGCTTCATTGCAAGCGGTTTCAACACAGTAAAAGCGATTCAGCGGCAGGGTAGGATTGCTCTCAAGGAGCGACGCGGCGACGTTCTGTAGTACTCGTCACATCCGGTTCAGTCTGATTAGCCTGGGCACACCGCTAGAGCCCCGCGTCATCTGCTTGCTGAAAATTGCAGCATTAAGTACGCGACTGCAAGATTTTTCACTAACGTTATCGTAACTTACCGTATACATGCTACGCAATTGTGGCTGATTCCGCCCAGGTAAAATTTAGTTGCAGTTGGCCTTCAAGTTGATGTGAAATGAAACTTTGTGAATGAACGTGCAGCGCAGAGCCTTCTTTAGAACTCACGTGCCAGAAAATTTTGGGTATTTACTATGTCACATTTGAAACTTGAGTTTTTGATAAATACGCTGCTGCTTCGCAAAAAAGATCCAAGTTTTCATACCATATTTAACTAATGCGCCACTTATTTCACGCAGCTGATGCCAAGCTCTACAAAAGAATGAGCCCTGAAGAAGTCGGCATCAACACTACCATTCTATTCATTGCCGGGTAAGAGTAATTACGAAAAAAAAACTGCTGCTATGTAATTTACCTGACTTATTTGATGATGCATGGCTAATGAAACAGAGGTGAAAAGCACAATGAGCTTCAAGTTTGAGTCTCATATTTGAGAGAAATGTTTATTTATTCCTAGCTGAAAAACGGCTTTTACTGAAACAAAAACTGCATTGTGGTGGCTTAAAACTACCAACGTAAGTTACTGTACTATAACGAACAAAATGTTGTATAAAGCTACCGGAACGTCCTACGCCAAACGATCGACAGAAATTCTGCATGGGCACTCTAACTCTTGTTAAAAAACAGCAGCATTTAGGCGGCGCAGTGTTTTTATATAGATAAAGTATTGCGGCACTATACAAAAACCTCAACAACAACAACAACAACAAACAAACAAACAAATAAACAAACAAACAAATAAGCAAGGAACAAAACATCAAATGACTAAATAAGCTCATCATTTCAGTTAGCGCTACCTGGAAGGTAGCGGGAACATACCGCTGCGTGATTTTACGTTCTTGCGCTGCAAGTTTTAAAATTACGTCAGTCTGAGAACTGGTGGCTCTTTCTGCTTCTAAAATTATTTGTAGGTCAAGTGGTCGAAGGGTGGTAATAAACCGCGAAATGCAGTTGTCAGAGACAGGTTTTCGCATTTGTCCGTTTTCGTGTCATACATGTAGCCCCGATTTGTTTCCAGTTTTATCGTGAAATCAGGAGTACACACACGATTGCGACCACTGCGCCAAATTCAATCCGTTCAACGTATTCTAGAGCTTCGTCTAGCGGAGCAATGCAAGCTGACCTGACGACAGATGGAAGACGCTCGGTTTTTTTTACCATGCTTATATTAGTTCTAGTTGTGTGTATGCATGTACTACAAAATCCCACTTGTATTTTTCTTGTGAAGTACCGAAGCTACCAAGAACTCGACGATGCCAAGTTTGCATTGTTTTATTGCATTGTTAGATGCGGTCAATTTATAAATTTTTTTGTGTTTATGTGTGGCTTATATTGCGGTGTAGTCCACACGTATTGCTTCTATTCCTGTTGCTCTAAGTGACATTTTCTTGCGTACGTTTTCTCTCTGACTGTGCCAACATTTCGTGCTATGAAACGAATGAGTTTAGTTTTATTGGACATGTTTTAATTTTCTGGCCTATTTCAGCTTCGAGACGACGGCTACAGGGCTGAGCTACCTCGCCTACATTCTTGCCAAACATCAGGATGTCCAGGAGCAGGTCCGGGAGGAAGTAAAATCTGTGATTGAGCGTCATGTGAGTACTTTTTTGATTAATTTTTTGTGGTAGGCGGCTTAACCGTGTAAGTGATTAACCCGTCTATCATATGCCACTTCACGGCATACTTAGTGAGATAAGCATCACTTGAAGCTTCAAATCCTTAAAAGCCAAATATTGTGCACTTAGAGCACATACATATGGTCCAAAAACTATCATATTTTATGTCATTGCATGTCATCGCAACTAGATTTCCAATTCCTTTCTGCGGAATGTGTTTTTGTGTCTCAAATTTTTGTTCTAGGTATATTTAGTTCGGTAAACGCTTACAGGTACAACTACAAAATGCTCATGTGTTGTGAAGTTTAATATAGAACATTACGCAAGAAATAAATTCATGAAGTCATTGCTATTCCATAGAAGGTGGAGTCAAGACATAAGCGAAAATGTTCCTGACGCTCGAACGTTGGTCCTAAAGAAGACGGCGGATCGCACTAGACGTTGAAATATTTGATTTCACAATAAAAGGCCCTTTTTTCGCAGGGTGCCCTGGATTACACGGCGGTAACGCAAAGCCTGAAATACTTCAGCAGAGTTGTGGACGAGACGCTTCGTATGTTCCCTCCGGTCGTGACGTAAGTAACTCAATACTACAACAACGCAAGAGCAGCAAGCTCAGTTGAGCGGAAATTGTGGGGCTTATGTATATTCTTCGCGTTCTGAATCTTCCAGTTTTACAACCAGGAGTGCCATTAATGACTTTGAGTATAACGGAATCAAGTTCAAGGCCGGCACCAGCATTTTGTCGCCAACCATTCAAATCCACATGGACCCTCGAATCTGGCCTAACCCGGAGAAGTTTGACCCGGAAAGGTAAGTGATTCAGGTCTACGTTAATGCAGCTTAGTAGGGACTGAATTAGAATATTAGTTTAAATATGGTCCCTTCTTAGGGTACTCGATTCGACGTCTTGCCTATGAGACCACGTATTTGGTTAAGAAAATAACTTTTTTCGATACTGGTTGTTGTCAATGCGCCTGCGCATATGCTTTGTCGGCGTGAGGGTTTTATAATGAATTAAGTGGCAAGTGAGTGTCTTTCCTGCTGTCTGTTCTTTTCCTTGCGAAATCTGTGTTTTCCTATACAATATAGCATAGTAGGATAAATTATGCCTACAAACCACCTGATGATGATCTCGGTAAATGGAGATGTCATTGCATTCGACAATTTTTGTTGTTCTTTTTGTACTTAGCTTTGCCTCTCAGTGTGGAACAGCATTGATACTTTTACGTTGCTCGGACAAGCATTATTTCACTGTGCCATTTTCCTGCAACTGGCGTACACAGTGCTCCTTAACCCATCTTTTTCATCATGTGACAACATGTTCTTTGATTCTCTTCATTTCTCCTCAAAATATTCATCGAATGAGTGGTGTTACAAAATAAAAAAACGTAATCAAATAGTCTCGTTCACTTTTGCTATACCTAAATTAGTGTGGAAGGGTACAAAGCTATGAGTACGGCAAGAATGTATGAGAATAGTTACATCATGGTTAACGAAAATACTAACTTTAGATATGTGGTTTTACAGCCGAGAATGAGAATGAGGAGTCCGAGCTAAGTACAAAAACACCAATTAAGCACTTCAGAGCCTGAAATGGTAGACACTAGACTGGAACATAAGGTCACCTGTATTTAAGCTACTAGTACTCTTCGTGCTTTCAGTGCAAGCTTAGAATCATTCTTTCAAAACTGAACTATTTCATTGAGCTGTAGTTTTGTTGAGTGTGTGTGATGACGGCAGAACATTCGGGAAGCGGGAAAATTCAACGGCCCATACCTATTTTTTTTTCTTTTTCCTATGTAATGACGAAATCTTAATTAGGAGATAACAAGAACCTCGAAATTCTGTACAAGGAGGGATGGCTGGGCAGGCACGGGCTACGTGTGAGCCAGTGGCATCACAAGTTGGCAACGTCGGCTCATCGCAAGGGTTCTCAGGTGTGGTTAGTAGGTTCACGAACATATAGGCAAAACAGCGCTCAAAACTAGGCCATTCAACACACAGGTTGCGTCACACGTATTCACTGTCATGTGTTCTGCGCTGTTCTACCACAGGTTCAACACCTCACGTTGTGGCGAAAACCATACACGATGTACTTCAATGTTCGCACCGCATTCGTCACCTTGTCGCATGTGCATTTTTGTGTGCCCGGTGTAACTATCGCACAACATTTCGTGAAATATCACGATAGTAATTATTTCGACTTCATTCTTTTGCGTACGTTGCACAATAAAGAATAGAAGCGTCATATTGCATTCGTTAATGCTTCATAAATTACCACAAATCGCGTCAAAATCCAATATTTATTATAACTGGAGGCCATATAAATAGAACAGATCTAAAAAGACCACCCTGAATTTGTGCCATTGAGGCATAGTAACACAGCTAATTCCTAACAATTTACAGAATAAATACCATCTATTGCTGCAACTCAAATCCGTGGAGCCCCGCCGCGGTGGTTTAGTGGCTAAGGTACTCGGCTGCCGACCCGCAGGTCGCGGGCTAGAATCCCGGCTTCAGTGGCTGAATTTCCGATGGAGGCGGAAATGGTGTAGGCCCATGCGCTCAGGTTTGGGCGCACGTTAAAGAACCCCAGGTGGTCAAAATTTCCGGAGCCCTCCACTACAGCATCTCTCATAATCATATGGTGGCTTTGGGACGCTAAACCCCACATATCATCATCATCAAATCCGTGGGCTTTACAGTGGCAAAAAGGCACTTCATACTCCTGCCTGACTTTGGTGCAGCAGCGCGCCCTTCTTAAACGATCAAATAAAGCAGTCTACTCAGCGCAGCACCTCAAGTGGCTTTACTCTCTTGTGGATTAGGCTTCGATGCATTTGTGGCACTGCGATTCCGAGCACTTCACCAGGTTCTCGTGCACTCAGGCAGTAAGTCCGCAAATAAGGTGGAACTAACAAGTACTTACGACATATATCTTGTGGTTAGGGCTCATTCAGACTATGATTCTCTGAAATTTTCTTCAACTGAGCTCACTCAGGCTGATCGAAACCGAAATATGCGGGCATGTATTTATGAAACTGCCAAACAATGGTTTGATTTGCGTTTCACCCAACACACACAAAAAAATTTATCGCAGTCATCGAAGCACACTTTGTTAGACCCTTCAAAAAGAGCCCAGTGTTATTGTGGGACGAAGCCATCAAGTGTGAACAAAACAGTGAGAATCTAATGCCTGTAAACTACTTCGCGTCTTTTTCAGAACCGGGCTCACCAAAATGTTTTACTCTCCCAGACTCAATGAAAATTAGGCTCACAAATTCATTTCAGTATCAGCGCGGCGAATTCACGAATCACAAGCGAGTTTGCCGATCTATTACTCTAGCTGAGCGTTCGTGTTCCACTCAGCTAAAACCTTGTTTAAGGCAACAATTTTGGAATACCGGAAAGATCTAGCTCTACGCCACATAGCGACGAAGACGCTGTTGGATTTGCTACGAGCGACGCTTCCTCTCCCATTTAATCTTCCTTACTTTCTTCTCTTCCCACGCGTTTTCTCCAGTGCAGAATATCAAACCGGGTATTTTACAAGCCGGATGTTTTACAAGCCGGAACAGCAAGCTAGATTTGTTTACACCCCCAGCTTTCCGCACTAGCTTTCTCTCTCTCTCTCTCTGTCCACTCAATTATTCAGCGGCAACGGTGGTGTACATACACAGAACGATCGTGTAAGCAGAAGGGCGCAGAACACTCATCTCGCTTCACTCCAAAATCGATCGAGCTGAGTTCTATGGTGCGATCACTTCGTTTCGCCGTAATCTTGCAGACAAGCTGATACCGCGTCAGCAAGACGCGCTTGTCAATCACGGAAAATGGGGCCAGTTCGTTGCACTTGTTTTGGGGGCACTGTATACGCGTAGAACGGAGGACAAGCTACACTCAGCTAAAACGGCTGTTCACCCGAAGGTGGTGAGATCGAATCTCGGCCGTGGCCGTCGCATATCAATGTAAGCAGGATGCTACGTAGAGACCCTTGTGCTTATATAGTCTGATTTAGGGGAGCATTAAAAATGCCCAGGTCACTGAAGTTTCAGAAGCCCTCCATTAAGGCCCCTCTTCTGCTCGCGTCATTTTGTCGAGACGTAAAATTCCTACAGTTATTGTTATTCAGCTAAGGTTTTCTATAAGCCCCGCTGAAGGAAGGTGGTTCAGAAGCGTCGTTAGAAGGCGCTACGCGCCCTGCGCTCTAATATTGTGAAATCTCGTGAAAGTGAAGGTATGGAATATCCGAGGATTTCCGCCTCGTGTTGGTAAAAATTTTCGGTTTCCAACATGGGCGTGCTTAGTGGCCTGGTCTGTTCTCAAGCCCCAATCCATTCTAGTTCGTTACGTGACGCCAACAACGATTGAAAAACGTACAAAGAGGCACGTGTGAAGTTCTTAGCGTATTGCGCCTTGACTCATGGGCTGTGTTGCGCTGTGAAGAATGGTTTTGCTGTAGTTTCAGTTGCTGCTGCAGGTTTTTGCCGGAGAACGTTGCTGCGAGGCCAACAATCGCGTACCAGCCATTCGGCGATGGTCCGAGGAACTGCATCGGGAAGCGGCTTGCTCTTCTAGAGGTCATATACACGGGTGCAAGGATGGTGGAAAAGTTCAAGCTAACATTAGGAGAGTCTCAGAAGGTGAGTTAAAGCAGTGGCCGTGTTTACATTTTTCTTTAATAGATCATATAATTTTCTGCTGCCTGTTGCACAGACCTCGGAATGCGCTGCACTCTAAGGCCACATAGGAGCATACAAGAAAACCTAGCACGAGATTGAAATAGAGTGCAGGAAACCTTAACGCACAGCATGGGAATTGCTTGTTTAAACACGAAAGTAATTAACTTGGGTTCATTGCACGTGTCTACTAACTTGACAGGCATGAAATATGTCGGTCATCGATGGTGACATGCCAAAACAACGCGCGCCTGTTTCCATCATCTAACAACAAAAACAGAAAAAGCATGCACGTTATATACACTCAAAAACATCCGAATGCTTGTTTACCGAGACGCAAACAGTGAATGAACATACCATGTGGGAAAACCACGCTTCGGAGTTTAAAGGCACCAAATGAAGGAGACGCAAACGCCAGCATCCATGGTAAAAGAGCGTGTTCTATTTCCTTGTGTTGGTCTCTTCTTCTTCCTCGTCGTTCTCCGTCTCTTGGTGCGCGCGCTATTCGCGCGGGAGGTTCAAACAATTTCCAACATCCTCCGCGCCCGAAAGTTCAATCGCCCAGCTCCAACGGGCATAAAAGTTGTACTGGCCTCGTAACTTCCGTACCTCCTGCCAAGACAATCTTGCAGGCTCTAACGTGATTATCACTTGATAAGTACACGTCAGTAACTCTACCAACTTTCCAAAAAGTTATGGGCACCTTGTCTTCCTTAATGACGACTACATCGTTAACCTTAAGCTGGTTGCAAGGCTGTACTCGCCTAATGTGTGCACTCCTCAAGCACAAGAGGTAGTCTTTATACCAACGCTTCCAAAAATCAGCCACTATTTGCTGCCTGTACTTCCAATGCTTTAAAGTATCGGAGCGAGTTCCCGACGTTTCAGCAGTATTAGCACTAGGCAGTGTAGTAGACTTCCTACCGGTTAGAAAGTGCGAAGGTGTAAGTACAGCTGGATCGGTAGCGTCAGCGGAGAGGTACGTTAATGGCCTAGAATTCACTACATTTTCTACTTCGGCAAGAATGGTCACAAGCTGCTCGAAATCAAAGCAACCTTTCCCTAGAATTTTCCGTAGGCAGCTTTTAACAGTGCGAATCATCCTCTCCCAAAATCCACCCCACCAAGGACTACGTTCTGCAATGAATTTCCAGGTAATGTGGTTAGTAGAGCAAAAGTCCTGTACTTGGAAGTCTCTCAAAGCTCTGTACATCACTTTTAAGTCGCGACTGGCAGCATGAAAAGCTAGAGCATTGTCGGAATAAATAACACTAGGCAAGCCGCGTCGCGACACAAACCGACGGAAAGCCATTAAAAATGACCCCGCCGTCATATCGGAGCACAACTCCAAATGGATCGCCCGAACGACGGCACACGTAAAAATAACGATATAGGCCTTCACGGGACTGGTTCCTTTCACAAAAACGGGACCAGCAAAGTCAACACCCACAACTTGAAAAGGGTGTGATCTCTTAACCCTGTCGGTCGGCAGTGGTGCGGTAGGGGCTGTTGCAGGTTGGAGCTTGAATCTAGCACACACTTTGCACCTAGAGAGCACTTTTTTCACACACTGGCGGCCCTTAATCACCCAAAAACACTCGCGTAGCTCTGAAAGGGTATCGTTTACACCACTGTGCAGCAGGCGCCGGTGCGTGCGGTCGATGATGAGGTATGTGCAGCGGTGGTCAGCTGGTAGTAGAATCGGGCACCTCACGTATTCTGATGTTTTTACGTTGTCAAGCCGGGTCTTGATTCTTAAAATCCCATCATTGTCCAGGAATGGATGCAGATCACGAATTCGGGATGCCTTAGCTAATGGTTGGTTTTTTAACAATGAGGCGAGTTCTATACTAAAGGCTTCCGCTTGTGCATTCTTCATCCATGTAAACTCGCCTTCTTTTATCTCAGGGGCAGTGAGTGGGCCCATCAGACGACGACTGGTGTGCACTCGACAATTGTGAATAAATCTTCGAATCCAAGCTGTGATTCTAACAACTCGTATCCAGCTGCTGTACTTGTCGAGCTCGAAAAGTGGCTCTGCTTGCGAGCATTGACAAGCCAAAACTGTTGTGTCTTCGTCGTTTGATCTACATAGTTCATCCGTTGACTCATGAGGACCAGCTTCACTTGCCGGCCACGTTTCTTGGGTACCAGATAGCCAGTCAGGCCCATGCCACCATAAATCGCTAGTACAAAGGTGATGCGCTGATATCCCTCTTGTAACTAAGTCGGCTGGGTTTGTCTTTCCAGAGCAATGTCTCCAGCGACTCGGGTCTGTGAGCCCTTGGATCTCAATTACCCTGTTACAAACGAAGGGCTTCCACTTGGTGGCTGTAGACTTGATCCAACTCAAGCAAACTTGGGAGTCGGTCCAGCAGAAGTATTCTATATTTGTGTGTGGCAAAGTATCCACAAGTAGCTTAAGAAGTCGAGCTCCAAGAACCGCAGCGACGAGTTCCAGGCGTGGTAAAGTGAGACCCTTGATTGGAGCGACCCGAGACTTAGCGAGCAGCTGCTGGAGTCGAACCGCTCCGGTACTGTCTTCCACTCGTATGTATGCCACTACTCCGTAGGCACACGGGCTAGCGTCCGTGAATATATGCAGCTGGTGAGTGCTTTTATCAGGGCTGCTGTTGTCTAGTTGATACCTCTTGGTTCTAAAGTCTTTGAGGTCTTGAAGTTCGACAGTCCACTTGTCCCACTCGATCTTCAATGTCTCGGGGAGAACGCTTTCCCAATCGAGTCCTTGCATCCATATCTTCTGAAAAAGTATTTTAACTCGAATGGTGAACGGTGCTAGCAGTCCCAAGGGGTCGAAAATTCGTGATGAAGCCTGAAGCACAGTTCGCTTGGTACAAAGTCCCGCTTTTAAGCCTTTCGTCACAGAGTCAATTTTCACCGAAATGGTGTCGTCGGTGTAGTTCCAGGATAGCCCAAGAACCTTAGATTGTGTGACCTGATCAGCTGCCGTCTCTCCTGCTTGCTTGAGCTTCTCTCTTAACAGGTCGCAGTTTGTTGACCACTTCTGCATTTTCATTCCGGCCAGCTCCATTATGGCCTTCGTCTCTTCGTAGAGTTGTAGCGCTTCTTTTGTCGTTGAAGCTCCGAAAACTAGGTCATCGACGTAGAAGCTTGCCTTCAGTTTTGCGGCCGTTACTTGGTAAATTTGTTCAACGTGATCGAAATGGTATTTCAACGTTGCAGATAATAGGAAAGGGCTTGCGGAGGTGCCGAATGGAACTCTGGTCATTCGCATTTCTTGTATTTTTGGCAGTGGTCTGCCTGACATTGGTAGCCCTTCAAACCACAAGAAACGAAGAGCATCTCTGTCTTCTTCTCGAATGCTGATTTGTAGAAACGCCTTCTGCACGTCTGCTGTAATTCCGATGGCGAAAAGGCGAAACCGGATCAAAACCTTGAAAAGGTCAGCATTCAGATTAGGACCTTTTTCGAGTTGTTCGTTGAGAGAACAAGCTCCTGATGCATGCGATGATGCGTCGAAGACTACGCGAAGTCTCGTCGTCGTAGATGTTTCGCGGATTACCTCTCGATGCGGCATGTAGTATAGGTGCTGTGTACAATAAGGGGCATCTTCAACTTTTTCAGCATGACCGTCCACCTCATACTGCCTGATAGCCTTATCGTAGGCTCTCATGGCTTCGTCGTTTGGTGACAGCCGCTTGACGAGTCCATGGAGCCTCGAAAGGGCTACTTTGCGATTGTCGGCCATGTCGACGAGAGGTGATTTCCATGGCAACGCAACTTCATAGCGTCCTTTCCGAAGCTTGGTAGTGTTGTTGAATTCTTCCAAAATATCTGCGTTGCACTGAGACGTCGGCGTGTCGGCAATTCCGATAGCATCGAGGTCCCAAAATCTTTGTAATGGGAAGGCGATCTGGTCGTCTTCGTGGGAACCTGTTCGAAGAACACATACTTGGGTGCTTGCTTTGTTACTCGTGCTTCCACCACCAGATAAGGGGCCTTGGAGAGTCCAGCCCATCTTTGTGTTAATGGCGAGTAAGGCAGGGTTTTCTTCATCCCACCTCACTTCACTCGTGTTGGGCATCAACTTCCAAAGCTGGTCCGATCCAATGAGGACACTCACACCTGGCTCACAATCTACACTCGGGTAAACGACTGCGTCAGCCAGATGTTTCCCCTCCGCTGCGATGGCTTGAAGAAGACGACTCTGCCTTGGTGCTTCAATCATCTCCTCGCAAATAAAGGGCACCACTATGGCCTCAATGTCAATGGTTAGGTCGTCGTGCTGACTGCGGAGCGTGATCTTGACCATTTTGAATCGTCGGGTTGGGTCGCTCGCTCTACCAAACGCACTGATGGCGAGTTCGGTCTCGGCAACAGCAGGTAGACTTAGCTTGGAAGCGACGCTCTCAGTGACGAACGTTCGCTGGCTTCCGTTGTCGAGAACACCGCGTATATAGCAACAATGAGATGAAGTCGTTACCCAAGCTCGAAAAGTCTGGAGAAGAACATCATTGATGAGTCGGGGAACTGAAGCTCTCTGAGTGGAAACTTGCACCGTAGCATTCGGTTTCTTCTGAGCATTAGTCACTGATGGTGTTTCAGAACTACTAGCATTGCACATCGAGGAGGCGTGTCTGCGCTTGCATGCTTGGCAGTGCACTCTCCGCCGGCAATTGCGGACCAGATGTCCTTTTGACGTGCACCGGAAGCATCGACCGTCTGTTACAAGTTTGTTGCGCTTCTCGGCCAGAGTCATGTCACTCGTGCAGTCCTCTGTCTTGTGATCAGTAGCAGCGCAGAAAAAACAGGACGAGGGGGAAGATAGTGTCTTGTTTTGAAGAACGGATGCTGTAGGAGTCGCGGACTGCTTCTTGAATGATCTATTTAATACAGGTACGCTGTTGTTCGATGTCGTTGGCAAATTGTTCACTAAAGAACTCTTTTCTCGACATTCAACTTCGATGCGGAGAAATTTCATC